TCTTGGCTTTCAGATGCCTCGCTCGTCGTCCGTGTTTTTCAATCCAAGCCGGTCGACAGACTCCCCAGTCCTATCTTTGTGCATTCACGCACTTCGAACATGGTTTTGGATGTCTGCCATGTTACGTGCGCGCAGAAACCAAGTCTCGCCAGATTTGAGTCTGAACTTTTTCCATGGAAACTGCGTGCGCAGCTTGTATCTTACTCCAAATCAACCCAGCCACGCATTTTCTCCTGCGAGCATCAATCTCAATGGGATCTCTTTGGCTCGATTAGGGAACGAAGGGTGCAGAAGTCCAGGCGGCGGAGGTGTGTGCGCCATCACGGTCAAACTGCCAAAGCAGGCATAGTTTCGGCTTTAGAAGAGTGTGATTGAATTTTGTTGCAGCTGGTCACCTTTGCAGAACGGAGAGCGAGATAGAGCGAGTTATTGTTCTTCCGGCAAAGATGGAGTACACAAAGCCACTCGGCCCAAAGCTTTGCCATTCACACACCAAATCTCACACTATGGACGGAGCTGAGATGCTCGATATATATATATATATATACAATAAAAGCACAGCAACAGCAAACCATGGGAAGAAATTGCAAAGAGAAGCGACTCTCTGATTCTCCAAAAGTGTTTTCTCGTACCAATCTCTACAGGTTCCGTCCTTGCATTCCGTCCTTTGCAACTCACCAATCGCGGAAAAAGGCCTGCAAATGTGAGCCACGTTGCAGAAAGCTGACCGGTCACTGACTGGCTGTACGCAGACGGTGGTTTCTCTTTCGATCCTGCCAGTCAAGTCTATGTGCATCCTCGGACTTCGAACGCCTCTGACAAATATTATGCCCCGAAAGAAGGTGCCTCTCCACAGCATGCGCAAACCCACCATTTCCATCCATGTCCATTCCTTTTTGGCAATGGTGCCAGGGCACAAGTATGGTGATCCCATACCTTTGACATTTGTCCACATGCGTAGCTGATGTACGAACATGTGTGGCGGTTCTGCGAGATGTACGCGTACGCGAAGACAAAAGAAGGAGCACTCCTGTTTTGCTTAAATACCATGTTCTGATCCGATTACAGGCAGACAGACTCAGACTAGCCTAGATCGTCAACTACCGGAGTTTAAGTGCATCTTCTTGCAATGCTTCACTGTATTCCATCATGATAGCAGCCAAGCAATTTCGTTACGCCAGCACTTCGCAACCTCGGCTACTTCCTTGAAGGAGAGGAAACGATGGATGACGAGCCGCTTGCGCAATGATGTCCCGCAAATGAACAAGTTTCGGATAGATAGAGTACTAAAAGCCTTTGAGACTTTCAGTATCTTCACTTCGTCGCATGTATGTGTACTATAGTGCCCCCAGTGGGTGCTTGAGAAGTCGCTATTTACTTCCGCGGCAAATTTGGAACCTTGTTCAGTGACGGGTGCCAACCGTGACGTGTTCGTACTCAGGTATTGCCAAGGAACGTCGCACTTGCTTTGTGATGTGAGTATATGTGAATGTGATGTGGCTATGTCATTGGCGCAAGCTGGATCCTGGATGTGGATGAAGGCAACTTGTCCGCTCTTTTGGCGCGCATCAAAGCTTGGGCTCCTGCAGCTGACTCGGGAGATCAAGGGAGTCTAAAGACGCTTAGGCCATCTTTCACCCTGATTGCCACTTCTTGGCAGATATTTGTTTGGTCGAGCAATGAAGGATAGCACACAGGAACATATTTGGAGCCCGCAGTTCACTCGCGCAATCATATTGCACAAACAAGTTTCGGATACATAGAGAACCTGCGTGCCGCCTGTGAGGATTTGGATATCGTCAACACTTGGCTTGAAGTTGTCCACATGCGACGGTTTTCGATCTTTCTGACTCCGTACTCATGCGAACTGCCGGAGTCCGGGGGCCTTGCAGAGTTCCACCCTGAAGCCACGAGACTCTTCCGCAGATTTCTGGGCCCTTGAAAACTGATCTGGCAGATCGAAATCACGCGAAAGCCAAATCTATACGATCTCGAAAGCTATGTTTCTCCAATTGCGGTTTTGGACGCTTGCCTTAAACAGTAAGCACTTAAGGTCCGGACATGGTGCGCTCTCAGCTGATTACGTTCGCGGCGTTCAGTACTCAGCGACTCAGCGACTCAGCCATATATATACAATTTTCCGGTCGGAGCTGAGAGAGTCCAATGTTGAGCTTGGCTTCTCAAAGTCAAAGCATCAGGAGTTCTGCCATGAAGCAACGACACTTGCTCTGCAGATCTCTTGCATGGGCCACCCCAACAACGCCTGGAGCCTGCAGGTCTGGCAGATCATAGATCTCATCAACTGAAAACGTCATATTGGGAAAGACAAAGCTATGCTACGACGAAAACATGTGCCATGCTGCGCGTTCTTTGGGAATTTGGTTCGTGAAGCAGGTTATTGCAGAAGGGCTGACATGTTTTGGTGACTCTGCTGATGCTTTAAGACGACGTTTTGGCTGCAAGGTTCTTGGGTCTATAACTTGTGGAACATTCTAAACCATGACATAGCTGGAAGGTCTTTGGTAGTGTGGACATAAAGGTGCTTTTGCATCGACACTGTTAGTTTTTCTTTTTCTTTTTGTGAAGGCATAGCATGGAAGAACCAACAATGAAAACATATCCGACATGGATTTCCACTTCAGCAGCAATTCCTCCAGAGATGTGCTCGGTTTCTTTTCTTTTGGGCTCCAGCCAATCTCACGCACATGACACATACATATTCAGTCTCCAGGTATGTGCTTACAATGCTGCTAGTGCAGACTTAGAGTCTATGCAGACTGAAGACGCTCTTTGCTAGATGGGTTAGAGCAAAAACTGAAAAGTTATTTAACATCTAGATGTAGCAAGGCTGTTTTTGGGTGTGGGGGTAGTTCATCTAGAAATTCATACTCACATGCAGACAATTGTAGCAAGACCAAGTTAGAAGCAAGCTGGAAAGCGTTAGTGCTCCATCGCGTCACTGTGGAAGCGATTTCTGCTGGATTCACAGATGCAAGTGTTAAATTTGACAGTTAAACACCTCCACTTGAAAACATTGCGCCTGCTTGCAGAATGCAGGTCGAAATTGGAGCGGTGGCTACGCTGTAGCCGCTGTTCCACAGCAAAACGTGAGGCAAGACGACCGGTCTGGCACTTGTGCTGTTTCTGGTCGCTGCAACGCGACAAGCAAACCCGTTTGCTTTCGCAAGGGTTTGCTCTTGAGACCCTCCCGCAACACCTATGGCCCCGGCGCAGCGTGATGAGGTGCTGGAACTGTGTAGTTGGAGTTGGAACCGTCTTTCACAAGCAGCCAGCACCTCCAGTGACCTGATCGCTACTTAAAGTCATAGGATAGCTACCTGGTCTGCTTCAAGACAAGACGTTTTGGGGTAAGTGTTACCTTGCGCTTGTTGGCAGTCTCTGAGCGACGACGAGACGAACTACACCAGCCGACAGCTGGCACGAGGCCGGAGATACAGCTCCAATGTGCAATCAATGTTGTAAGATGTTGTAAGAATGTGTTTTCTTGTGCGCGGGTTGTACAAGACACCTGACCTCTAGCAGCTAGAGACCAACCTTGTTAAGACCAGTCTTCTTGTCAGGCTCACAGAATCCGAAGAAGACTACAAATATCACCATACACATCGTATACTGTATTGTGATTTTGCAACCGTCGATACACCACAGGTGCTTGCATGTGAGAT